AAGAAAAAATACATCATATTTCACAAAAGACTGCTCATTTGATGCATGGAAAATTTTAAGAAGAGGAACAATTGTATTATATAAAATGTCTGCAGGAGAATATCAATTTGCACGTGTTGCAAAAGATTGTCGTCTTGTAAATGAAATTATGGATGTTCCTCTTTATATTTCTGCTGATGAAACAAAACAAATAGGAATTTGTTGGAAAGAGTTGTTAATAGTCCCTTCTGAAGTTGTTGATCCAAATTCATTTGGAGGGTCATTAAGTGCTATATGTAAAGATTGTGCAGAAGTAATGATGATTAAAATTATGAATGAGATGAATGACTTTGTTATGAACAAACTTAATACTGATTTCAAGATTGATGTTAGTGTTCTTTGTAAAAAAGATAATTTAACTAGAAGAAGTGTAAAAAAAATTAAAAGTGTTCAAGAACAATTAAAAGGTCTTAGTGAAAATACATTATCTGACTTTTATGAAGAAGTTACTGAAACACTTAGAGTTAAATTAAGTTCAATGGTAGATCTTGTTAGAAGAGGAGTAGTTCCTACTTATGTAGTTTTTCAAAATAGACCAAAAAGAGATATTATTATGGGAGTTGCATATCTAGAATGGGCTCGAAATAAATATTCTCAAATTCTTAAGAATACTGATAAATTAATAAAAGTTCTTTCTAAAGAAAAAGAGTTAATTCTTAATGGTTCATTACCTAATGAAATGAAAGAATGGCAACAACAAATTTTATCTGAAAAATCTATGGAATTATTAAGTGAATATGGTTTTGATGATTCTATTGTATTAAATAACTCTACTAATATAGAAGGAGTATTATATAATAAATTTGTTATTGATCAATTATTAAGTAATTTAAATGAACCATCAATTGATAAAGAAATACAAACTCTTCTTACTGAAATGACTGATAAATTATTAAATTATTTTGCTAAGTTACGAAGTACTGCTGTTTCTGTTTCAAAACTAGGAGATAAAGGAAAAAGTGATGAACAAATTATTGAACTTTTAACTACTTTTATTGCTTCAAATAAAGAAGAACCTGTTGACTCTTCTCTTCAACTTATTGTTGATGAAATGAAACGTGTTCTTGATTTGATTAAGTCATCAGATAAACAACATAATAATAAAGAAGAGGAAAAGGGTATTTATGCTCTTTTTGTTGATATTCTTCAAAATCTTTCTCAACAATATTCAGATTGTATTGAACAAAATAAAGAAGCAATCGAAAGATTTAATGAAGAACCATATATTGAAAAGAAACAAAACATTGATCAAGGTTTAAGTCTTGCACCACATGTTCAAATGCAAAGATGGTTGAGTAAGAAACAAGTCAAACAAAATTAATTTAAGTTTTTTTTTCTGATTCTATGTTTTCTTATCTAGGATTGATTCGAGAGTCTTCTTTTTATTTCTAAATCTATATATAGAGTTCTTCTCCGTTGCCTATTGAAACAAATAGTATCAATCTTACTTTTTAACTACCTTTTTATCTTTAATGAACTTCTACATTTCACTAGAAAGTCTTCTCAATTTTTTGTTTAATTATCGAAATAGATAAAGAATAGTTTGGAATTGTCATTTCAAAAAACAAAAATATAGTTTACTTAGTTCAGTAGCAGAATTTATTTTATACCCATTTTTTCTAGTGCCTGTCTTGAAATTAATTTTAGGAGAGAGTGATTGTTTGAATTTATTTTTGAAAAGATTCTGTTAATATAAACTCATAGACTGCCAATTTCATTCATTAATTGTAGAAAATGAAAATGTCTGATATTTCATTTGGTTGGAGCAAACTTTCTAAACATGATCAAGTTAATATTCTTCAGATATTATTGATTCTTCCTTTTGTATTAATTTGTATTCCGTCGTCTTTCAGTAGATCTAAACAATATGACACTTTTCCTTCTCCAATTAATTTATTATTTGCTATTCCCCAATTTATTCTTATTTATATTCTTCGAGTTATACTTGTTGAGAATATATTTCTTAAATTAGGAGAAAAAGTTGTAGTCCATAAACCACAATGGACAGAAGAAGTAAGACAAGTAAGAGTTCAACGTTTCTCAGTTTGTTTCTTCAAAATGTTATACTTCTTTATTACTGCCCCTCTTGGAGTTGGACTTTTTAGAAATGAAGATTGGTTCCCTACTCAATTATTTGGTCAGGGTAAACAAGATTTAGAATATATGTGGGAAGATTTTCCATTCCAACTGCCTACTTGGAGAATTACCTTCTTTTATTGTTGGGAATTAGGATATCATTTCCATTCACTTGTACATCATATGCAAGGTGAAAAGAGAAATGATTATTTTGAAAATTTATTACATCACGTCGCTACAGTATTTCTTATTGTTTTTAGTTATTTGAATAACTGTGGAAGATGTGGATGTCTTATTCTTATTCTTCATGATATTGTTGATGCAATTATGTATTTTGCTAAGTCTGTTAATGATTTAAAAACTCAAATTCCTGCTTATCTCTCTTTTACCCTCTTAGCAATATCTTTCCCTAGATTTAGAATATACTTTTTGGGATGGTATTTGATTCCAGCTGCTGGTGGTTGTATCAAGTATGTTCCTGATGATCTTCCAGGTGGATTTCTTGTGTATTGTTTGATTATGTCACTTCTCTGTGTTCTTCTTTTACTTCATATATATTGGTTTACATTAATTCTTAAGATGGTATATAAAATAATTACAGAAAGAGGAAGAATTGCAGACCCTCATACTATTGGTAACTAAAAAGAAATCAGTAAATATTTTGTATTAATTAATTTATTTCTTCTATTTTTAAAAAAAGAAAAGAAAGATTAGTTATAAAATCTTTTATGATGAACACTTAACATAAAATTTATAATGAATTTGATCATTTTGATATATATTCTATCAAAACAGTTTTAATAAGCAATTAAATTATGGTGTTTTGGCTAAACAAATTTTTTAAAAATAAATATAGAACTTTATGATGAGCTATATCTTTATATCTAGTTTCAATAACAGTATCAAAAAAAATATAAACAAAGATTTTAGTTGTTTGTTAGTTTTATCTAACAGTAATAAAAAAATTAACTAGATATGTAGTTACTTGTCACAAGAATGATTTCTCTCCATTAAACAATAAGAAGTAAACACAAAGCATGGTTTAATAAAAAATAACAGAAAATACTTCTAAACTTAATTCAATTTTATGACAATTCCCACTCTAAATACTTTGCTAATTCAGAAGCAATATCGTCACACCCTCCTAACAATGCCACATCCCTTCCTAGATTATCATAACACATCATTTTACCAACTTTCTCTCTATTAATACATACTCGAGGACAATTAATAGGGACGTGATCAACTAAATTAGCAAAAGGATAAACAACAAGAGCAGTTCCAATGATGAGTAACATATCACAATCATCAAATTTATCCTTTATTGACTCAAAAAATTCATCTGGTAAACTTTCATTAAAGAAAACAATATCAGGTTTAATCAATCCTCCACAATTACAATGAATAATTTCTCCTTTCTTAATAGACTCAATGAATACTGAAGTATCAGGATACTTTTTATGGCAACTAAGACAATGGGATGACCTAAAAGTACCATGACTACAAATAACCTTATCATTAGGAATTCCAGCAACAGATTCAAGACCATCAATGTTCTGAGTGTAAACCATTTTAAGAATTCCTTTATCATTTAGTAACTTTAAAAATCTATGACATTTTGTTGGAAAGTATGTGCCTTGTCCAGGAAACATAACTTTCATTACTTCATAGAATGGTGCAGGATTAGATGGAAAATAATTCATATCAAATACAGCTTCTGGATATGGAAGATTATATTTTTGTAAATTAAAATACAATCCAGTTCTAGGTGATCTAAAATCAGGAATTCCTGCTGTTGTAGACATTCCAGCTCCAACTAATGCAATAATATTTTTTACATGATTCTTTCGAATATATTTTGCCACTCCTTTTACATCATATGTTTCAAAAAAGGGTTGATAAAATTTAAAATTGGAAGTATGGTCTTCCAGTGCTAATTGAAACAATACGTTTAATGACTTATTAACAACATAACTATTACATTCATAACACCAGAAATTCATACTTTGAACATTAAATACTACTGGATGTCCACGTTTTAATGAATGTTTTTGAGCATGTCCATTACAATATCGAGAACAACCAATATGTAAACAATGTAAACAAATCCATATTTCTTTTTCATTACATGAATTACAGGTATGTTTTCCTGTGATATGAGAATGTCCTCATAAATTTAAAAAAAAAACGAACGAAGAGATAATAAAAATGATTTTGGTGAATATGTCGCACTAATGAAATGACAACACTCTTTAGGTATTACTGAAAATTGCAATGACATTGAATCACAGATCTCAAAAAAAAAAGGTTTAAATACCCTAAATCTTCTTTCATTAAATAACGTATAATATTGATTTAGTCTTATATAACATTTTAAGAATGTGTGAGTATTAAACTCATAAAAGTATTAAACTTAAATATATGAATCAATGAATTTGTCGTACAAGAATGTCTCAAGAATAAATTTTAATTCTCTATTTACTACTAACCAATAACATTTTTTTATTTTTATTTTTTTTTAATTAGAAAAACAAAACATAAAACTAAATATTTCAATGCAAAAAACACAAATTGAAGAACCAATTGATTTAATTAAATTATCACTTGATGATAATGTATTTATAAAATTGAGAGGTGGAAGAAAATTAAAAGGAAAATTAAGAGTTTGTTTTAATAAACAATTTATATATAAATAAAGTAATTCATTATTTTAGGCATTTGACCAACATCTTAATATTATCTTAACTAATGTTAGTGAAATGTATCAAGAAAAAACAAGAACTTTTCCAGTATTATATATTCGAGGTGATTTAGTAATCCTCATTTCTCCACAAAAGGAATAAAATGAATTTTTTTTTACAAAATAACAAGGTTAGTCGTTTTTTTTAACTTAAATCAATCAATTCTCCATCTACAATTTCTGCATTAAATTCTTCAGGTGTTTTTGGACGTGGAGACTCTTGCATTTCTTCTTGTTGTTTCATCATTTTTGAAACATCTTCAACATCATCATTTTCCATTTTAAATATTGCTTCAGTTTCATCAATAAGTTTAATAGGTTCTATTTTTTTATTTGAAACTTCACTAGAAGAATGAGTTAAGAATTGAACAGAATTATCTATTTCCAATTCTAGAGGTTTAATTTCTGTTAATGTTTTTGTTTTTTTAGTAAATTCTTCCAAATCTTTTTCAAAATTCATATCATCTAATTCTATTTTAAATATATTTGCTTCTTTAGCAATTACTGGATTAAGAGATTCAATACCAATAATAATAGTATTTATTGTCTTTGATAATTTTTCATAAATTTGTTGAATTAATGAAAGGGCTGATGATATAATTGAAGGCATTTCATCTAAATAAACTATTTTTCTACATTCATTTGCTTTTTTAACACTTTCAATATAACATTCTTTTATATGTTGTTGTTTTTCAACTAATAATTGTTTTTTTTGAACCAATTTATCTATTGGTTGAGTATTATTAGATAACGCATTATTTAATTCTTTAGTAATACAATCCAAATCTTGACATATTTTGTTATATAACCCTTTTTGTTTTTCAACAATTTTAATATTATTTTCATAAATTTGAACTTTCTTTTCTATTTCAACTAAAATTCTTTTTTTTTCAGTTTCATAATTTTTTATAAAAATTTCTAAATCATTTTTTGTACTAATCAAGCGTTCTGATGTTTCTTGATGAACGTCACTTACTAATGAACCTTGTGTATTAATTTCTTTAAATAATATTGCCATACTAGATTCCATTAAATCAATTGGGTTTGTTGTATCGAATCTGCTAATTTTAAGAGGTGTTGTGGTTTGAGATTTTAGTCGTTTAGCATAATTTGCTTCAATTTTTGATCTTGTTTCTAAAATAACTAAATAATTTTTTGTGATTGAAGATAAGACTTCTAATTTATCTATAATGGCTTGTTGTTCAAACAGAATTGGTGTTGTATCAACCATACTTAAGGGTATTATTATTTTTAGTTAATCTTTATTATTCTTTTTCAATTAAAAAATATGAAATGAATAAAGAAAAATAATTTATTTTTATTTTTATTTCACTTATTCAATGAACTACATCTATACATTACATTCTCTCCATACATAACATTTTTAGGTAATTTCAATTGTCTTAATGATACACATGAATCAAACGCATAATCTCCAATAATAATATGTTCAGCTAATGACTCAAACTCAACTAACCCAAAACAATCCTTAAAACAAAATGCACCAATCTTTGTTATTGATGATGGTAAACTTATTCTGTCAATATTTACTTCTCGGAAACAATTATCTCCAAGTTCTTGAATATTTTGTGGAATATCTTTTCCATAAATTATTCTATCATTTTCAGTATAAATAATATGAGTACATTGAATAAATCCAATTTCAAAATAATTTGCTTGAGTAAATGAAATTGGATAATTGTATTCATAAATTGGTTGTTCATTGATAACTAATTGAGTTAAATGACAACAACCTTCAAAACAATTTGTTTCAATTATCTGTAAATTTGATGGTAATGTAACAGAAGTTAACTTACAACATGAACAAAATACACCACCAAATAAAGCAGTTACTGAATTTGGTATTTTGATTGATTCAAGAGATGAACAATACATGAAACATTCTTTGTCTATCACTTTCAATCCTTCATGTAATGTAATTTTAGATAATTGACCAGATCGTTTAAAAGCATCTACTCCAAGTCGTGTAACAGTACTTGGTATTTCAATTTCTTTTAACGATACTGTTTTAAAGATAGATAAATTATCAATACAACTAACTTCAGGTAAAACAATTTTAGTAAGATGATAACATTTATAAAAAAGACATTGACCAGTACTTTTTAATTTAGAATTTTTTTCAAAAATAACTTCTTTGAGACTTTGACATTGATAAAATATAAAATGACCCATTTTAGTCACTGAAGATGGAATAGTAATTGAAGTCAATGAACAACATTGATAAAATGCACCTGACATAATTTTTTCTAATTGTGTTGATAATACAACTGAAGATAATTTTCTATTATTAAAGAAACAAAATTTTGGTATAGATTTTAAAGAAGAACAATCAACATGCTCTAATTCATAGCATGACTCAAATAACTCATTTCCAATCTCTTTAATAGTTGATGGAAAAATAAAAGATTTATTTATTCGATTCTCTCCAAAACATCCTATTCCAATTCTTTTAATGTATGATGGTATGATTATTTGTGTATTTTCTTCTAGTTTTGCATCTAATCCAGTAATATTTGGTGTTAATAAAATATTATTTTTGTAATCCTTTGTTGTTAATGAAACATTTGTACAACAAACACCACATCGTTGTAAATAGTATGCTTCTTCAATAGATACAATTCCTGTAAAAGGACCATTAATTGTAACTGAAGTTAAAGACTTAACTTTCTTAAATATATATGGACCATATTTACATTCATTTGGTAAACTAATACTCACTAAATTAGTACATTTACTAAAACAATTTTCCCCTATAGACGTAACTGTAGATGGAATAACAATTTTTGTTGCTCTACATGAATCAAAACACATACTACTAAGTGAAATAAAACAAGGTGGTAGTACAATTTCTTTTAAGAAAGTATTAGTAAACATATTTGGTCCAGCTTTAAGAGAAATTCTATTATTGGCAAATGTATTAAATGATGATAAATCATTATTTGGAATAGTGTTCATAATAATACATTTTATTTTAATTCCAATACGTGAAAGAAGAATAAACTCATCATTAGAAACATCAAAAGGATAAAACCCTTCATTATCCAATTGAATATCTATGTTTTTAATTGAAATACATCCATTAAAACAATTAGGTGCAATTTGTGTTACACTAGAAGGAATTATTATTTCACTAAGACTTGTACACTTGTTGAATGCCTCACTTTTGATTTTACTAACAGAAGGAGGAATATTGATTTTTTTTAATGAACTACAACTATCAAATGCATGTTCATAAATTTTAGTAACACTGTATGGAATGTCAATAGAAACTAATTTAGAACAATTAAAGAAACAACCTCGTTGAATTGTATTAATAGAATACTTAGGTAATACTACCTTTTTTAAATTAACACAATTACTAAATGTAAATGGTGAAATTACAGTCACACTATTTGGAAAATAAATAGAAGTTAATTGGGAACAATCTGAGAAACATTCTTCATCTAAATGTATTACTGATGATGGAACCCAATAACTCTCCAATTTTGTATTACCTGAGAAACATTGTTTTCCAAGAATTGATGGAGTTAATGGAATATGTAACTTAGTTGAATCATTTGGTTCAGATACCTTAACATTAACAGGACTAATTCCATGGTTAAGTAATAATGGTAATTCAGAAGTACTTATTTCAAATGGATAATCACCATTAGGGTCTCTTGGAACATCAAACTCTGTAATTGCTGAACAACCTTTAAAAGAATTAATTGAAATATTTACAACTCCACGTGGAATAATTAAACGAGTTAAACTAGAACAATTTAAAAACGCACCACCTCCAACAAATTTTAATGAATTAGGAAGGTCAATTGTTCTTAATCCAGTACATGACTCAAATGCTGATGAACCTATTTCAATTAAATTGCCTAAATTTACAAATGTTGATAATCCAAAACAATAAGAAAAACATTTTAATGGAATTTGGTTAATATTTGAAGGTATTATAATACTTTGTAATGATGTACAATAACAAAATGCTTGATTTCCGATTTTTGAAAGATTATATGGAAGTCGTATTTTTTCTAAATGTTGACAAGCATAAAAACAACCAGCGCCAATCATAGTAACACTTTCTGGTAATACAATTTCTTTTAATGACTGACAATTTGCAAAAGAACAAAATGGAATTGATTTAATATTTGAAGATAATATAATTGTTTTTAATGAACTACACGATTTAAAACATGAGCGTTGTAATTCAATAACAGTGTTTGGAATTTGTATTCTTTCTACAGTATCTATTTCACTAAAACATTCTTTTCCAATTTTTTTTACTTCTTTTGGTATTGAACTTCCAAATGTAATAAAGTCTTTTTTAGTATACATAACATTATCACATTGAATCCAATTTTTCTTATTTTCAAGATAATAATAATATGGAACATAATATTTGATTCTATATAATAAATGATTAGATTGTATTTTCTCTTCAAAAGGATAATATAAAAACTGTGTTTCTATGTTTCTAAAGAAGTTTAAATCATAAACGGGAATAGGATTATAATGAAATTTATCAATGGTATCTTTAAATTTTTTACACACCATTACCACATTCTTATAGTCATCTTTTGTAATAAAATATTTTGATATAATCATTAGTGAGTATCCATCTAACTTCTTGTTCATAAATATTTATTTTTATAGTTTCTTGACAAAACAATTTTTTTCTTAAATTAAACCCTTTTCTCCTTTAACAAATAAACAAATTAAATATTAAAATGAATGGAGAAGAAAAACAAGTCAAGTTAAACCATATATTGTATATGGACGATTTAAAGATAATGACTAATAACCTCGATGAAATGGAAATTACACAAATTAACTAAAGAAATATTTAATGCAGTATGATTAAAAATTAATGTAGAAAAGAGTGTGATAATGACTAATATTAATAGTCAAATAAATGGTGAATTAGCTGAATTACCAAGAGTAACTAATGATAACCATTATAAATATCTTGGTATTGAAATATGAGATAAAATAAATATTAATAAATATTGTACAAGAATATTAAATGATATATCTTCTATTCTATCATCATTAAACACTATGAAGTACAGCAGCCTCAATACAATAAGAAAGATTAATAATGATATAATCTCAAAATTAAGATATGGGTTTTGTATTGTCAAATATAAACTAGGAGAATTGGAGAAGATAGATAAACAAATAAGAAAATCATTGATACAACTCCAATTATATAGTAGAAACATCCCAAAAAGTAGATTATATGTTAAAATAAATGAAATGGGATTATGATTAATGTCATCAAGAGATGAATATGATAAAGAATTATTAAGAATATATTTAAAATATAAATATCAAACACAGAAATAGGAGAAATGATAGAAGCAATAAAAGAAAATCCAAATGGAATAATTAAAAGAATGAAGAAAGCATTTGGTAAGAAGATTAATTTTAATGAATTAATGAATATAATAGAATTAAATGAAAGAAAGCACAATGTAAAGAAAGTATTTGAATGTGTAAATAATGAATTAAATGATAGATATTTAAGTGAATGGAAAGAAAAGAAATGTGGTGAATATATAAGATGTGCAAATGGCACTTTCAATGATAAAAAATTAACAGTAGCCACATGGATATCATTAAATATAAAAAGAAATGCATTCCTCCAAATAGTAAAAATGCAAGAAGGTGTAAGTATGAAATGAAGTATTAAATCTAAAATACTCAAAAATGATGCTTTAAAATATTGTAAACATTGTCATAACACATTTGCATCTATTAGTCATATATTGTTAGGATGTCCTGTAATGGAAAAGAATCAAATATTAAAACATGATTATGTTTGTAAACAAATATATAAACAGATATTAATTACACATTTCAATGAATTTGATGCAATTGACTTTAATAATCCTCATAAATGTATTAATAATGATAAAATGGTAATAACATACAATAAAGATTTATTAGTTAGTGACCATTCTTTCCATGCTAGAAGACATAATATATAATATCAAAATATTACAGAAAAGAAAGGATATATTATAGATGTTGCTATATGTCAAGATAATAATTTAGAATTAAATTAAATTCATAAAATAAATAAGTATAAAGAATTACAATAGAAAATAAGAAATAATAGAGAAATAATATATGTAGAAATAATATCTGTTATATTATCTATAAATGGATTAATACATAAAGAATCAGCAAGAAGATTAAAAACACTAAAATTACAATTACACTTTTCCAAAATCCTACGAACAATAATAATAAAAAATATGAAAGACTTAATGTTTTACACATTCAATTCTGGCAACACATTAGAAGAAGAACAATCTAATGCGAGCATGCTAGAAATGAACTCTATTACACAAATAAAGCATATTGAAGAAACTGAAATAATCACTTCTCAATATGAAGAAAATCCAATTGTGGATATTTCTAATAATTGACCTTTTTGTTATAAAAGAATGCATTTCTACAATTAACTAAAATGCAAGATGGTGCAATATTCTGTATGTACAGGAATGCGAAGACAATATAGCAACAGTAGAACACATTCTACTATCTTGTATTTGTCATAATAAATCACAAATGGAAAAACATGACAATATTGGAATTATCATATTGATTAATAAGAAAATACACAGGAAATAAACGATATAAAAACCCCATATGAAACAATGCTCAAATATAAAGACATCAAAATGATATTGAACATACAAATAATGCCTAAAAGTGATGACAATATCACAAAAGACCAGACATATATGTAATAGATAAAAAGAACAAAACTAGTCTATTATTTGATATGACTATTGTTGAATATCACAATATTAATTGAGTCTATTTGAAGAAAAGAAATATGTATAATGAATTAAAGAATATTCTAATGAAAATAGAAAAATTAAAAGATGTCAAAATAATTCCAGTAGTAATCTCAATAAATGGATTAATAAATAAAAAAAGTATTAAATTAATTAAAGAATTAAAAATTGACATTGACATTGTTAAAGAAGTTAAAACCATTGTAATTAAAAGCATGAATGATGTCATTGAATATTGATTCTATCACAACCAGATATACTCCTTAGAGTTTCTAGAAGAAGACAAAAGGATTGAATCAGTCTCCCCTGAGCCATTAACAATAGAAACTATTTCTATTAATACTTAGTTAAATAAATTTTATTAAAATTATTTTTTTTTTATCAGTTTTCACAACAGATTTCAGAACCACTTACTAATGACACGACTGGAACTTGTTTATTTGATGAAAGTTGTCCTTCATTTTAATAGATTTGAAGACGTTGTGGAATTCATTTTTATTAACAAAAAATGTGCTGACACAATTAAAGCATTAAAAGTAAATCCTCCTTTTAATGATGAACTTGCACTAAAAAAATTCTTTAAATTCTTTACACCTGAAACTCTTGACAGACCTTATTTAACAACAGATATATCTATTTATAATAAAGTAAAATGTATTAGAGATGTAATTATATCTATTTTTTGTAGTCTTAACGTTCCACATAAACAAATAATTCCACTTCTTTCAAAAATTGTTTCAATAAGTTTAGATACACCTTCTGTATATGAATATAAATCAATACCAATTGATTTCTTTATAAAACATGCAACTAAATTTATTAACTTACAATGTATTAGTGGAGACTTAAAATTATTAGTTAACTTCTTTAAGAATTATTCATACAATGGAACAAATAAAAGTGCTAATTATCCAAAAAAAATTATTATTAATAATTATGAAAACCAACCATTAATTTTAAGTAATTATATAGTTAAATTAATAAATAAACTCAAATCTTATTTACGTTTAAGTGATGAAATTCAAATTATAATAATTGCTTACTCACATCCTTCAAATCCTGAATTTTTAAAATGTTTAACTGGAATTACTTATTGTTATTGTGTTGTAACTCCTCAACAATGTGTTCAGAAAGAAGAAAATCTTTCTGTGTTACAAGGAAAATTTATTTTAGAAGAAACAACAGATGGAAAAAGATTTGAACATTTACTTCAAAAGGCTTATGTTCAATCAATTCAATTTAATAATATTCATTCAATAACAACACATTGGGATATTCCAAATTTTATTAAAACATTAAGAATTTATGAAATGGACTTAAGAGAAAACCAAAATGAAAGTAATGATAGCCAAGAAGAAGATGATGTTAATGATGATTTACAAATTTTACAAATAGACTATTTTTTAAAAACACCTTTTCTAGAAGAATTATGTCTTAATCGATGTTCAAATGTTTCGTATCATTTAAACACTTTTACTATTAAAAAAGTTACTACAAATGATTGTTTTAATATTTCTCTGCAAGACAGTGACATTTCACCATTTCCTCATCTTAATAAAATATCTATTTGTAGCTCAGAGAAATTATTTGTTGAAATTACTAATACTGTAATGGAAACACTATCTATTGAAAGTTCTTCTTATTGCGTTATTAAAGGCTCAATTGATTGTTGTCATAGAGTCAATATTAATAACTTGTATAAATGTTCTGTCCCTTGTATTAATTTTTTAAAATCAAATATCCATATTGAAGGTTGTATTAAAACATTCTTTTCAAGTACTAAAACACTTAACGACATTACTATATCTGTAGATGATGAGGATGATGATGAAAGTAATGAAGAAATTAATACTATTTCAGAAGATGATACAGAAAGAAATAACCCATTGTCATTCAAAGGTATTAGTTATAAAGACCTTAATTGTTTGATGTATAATACTTTCAATTATCCTTGCGATAATATCCAAAATTATTTGAAAGATCTACTTACTTTTTACAAACCAAGAAAATTTAATGTTCAAACTGATAGAATAGAATTAATTGATAACTCTATTAAACGCTTAATACCAGTTTATGGTGAAAATTTTGATGCTTTAGTATCTAATGGATTTGTAATACCTGAAGATAAAAGAAAGATGCGAATTATGACTCAAAGTGGAATTGTAGAATCTGAAGCTCTGATTCATTACTATGAAATTGAAGTTTATGGGTATTGTCTCTTTTCTTTAGGATTATGTTATGACCAAAATTGCATATTTGATTTTGATGAACAACATGTAGGATGGCCAGAAGGAAGTATTGGGTATCACTCAGATGATGGTTATATTTATAATGGAGACGGTAATGGTAGCCCATATGGACCAGCTTATGGAACACAGAAAAATGGACATAACATTATTGGTTGTGGATATGATACTATTAGTAAATCTGTTTTCTTTACTTTTAATGGAGAAAAATTAAAATCTATAAAAATGGATGACATAACTCCAATATCTGCAGTCATTGTTGTAGAAATGTTTAATAAAATTACAATAAACTATGGGGATACTCCATTTACATTTAATTTACTAGAAGAAATAAAACATGTTGATCCAGAAAATATATCAGACATTATTACTAATTGATGTTTCACATCTTCTTATTTTTTGAGTATAATCTTAAAATAACAAAAGATGAGCGATATTAGAAAAGCACATGATAACTACACTACACAAACAATTCTTAAAAGAATTCAAGAAGAAAGTGACCGTACTGGAGAAAGTTATGAGACAATCAAACAGTCAACTGATAGAATTAAATCGTCATTAAACACTCAAAATGATATTTCAGAAACACTTAACACTTCTAAAAGACAATTATTTTTTATGAAAATAACAGCAAATGCAGAGGATTTATTTTTCAAATCAGGTCTGTTATTTTATGTTTTAGTGATACTTTATATCATAGTTTCAAGAACTATAGTTTCATGGTTCTTTTCTAATTAATTGAACTTCTTTTATTTTTTTTTTCTTGTTTAATAGTTCAAACCTCTTTTCACAACTAATTATTCAGTTATTTACTACTTCATTATGTCAAAACAAAATTACCAAGTTGTTCGTTACAAATATGAAAAAATAGTTTTTGAAGCCTTATTTAAACCTGGTTGTGCACTCAAAGTTCGTGAAGGTAAATTAGGAATTTCTAATGCAACATTTGCAGATGAGGTTTTTGTTGCCCCACATAATAAAGGAAATATTGCCAAACCAGCTGAACTTTCAAAAGCATTTCCTGGTAAAAGTGGTGATGAAATATTGAAAATCATAGCTGAAAAAGGTGAAATTCAATTTTCTAGTGATGAAAGAAAACAACAAGTAGAAGATAAAAAGAAAAGAATTGTAGAATATATTCATAATTATTATGTTGACCCAGCTACCAATAAACCACATCCAATTGTTAGAATTAATAATGCTTTAGATGCTATGAAACTTGTTATTGATCCTGAAGCTCCAATGGAAAAAGAAATTAAAGAAGTAGAAAAGAAATTAAATGATATTCTCCCCTCTAAACGATTAGAAGTAGAAGCTATAGTTACAGTTCCAAATGACTTTTGTAAACTTGCTGATGGTGCTATGAAGAAATATGGAAGAATTACATCATCTTCAGCTAATGGAAATTCAAAGGTTTACAAAGTTTCAATTATACCAGGTGATTTCGATTCTTTAAATAAAGACTTAGCAAAAGCAACTAGAGGAAATTATCAAATTGACTTACCAAATGGTCAAACCGTTCAAAAGGATGCTTCTAAGAAAAAAGGAAAGAAAGGAAAATAACAACAGTACTACTAAAAGTTTGTGGTAAATTCAATTTGCTGGTTATTCTTAAATTTTCTCATTAATTTTTGTTAATTATAATAAAAAAGAAAAATTAAATAGTAAAAATAAATCAAAAAATTCAATCATTTTCTTCACTCATGTCATTACTAGACATATGAGACTTATCATTACTTTTATTTTCTTGAAGACTATCTTCTTGACTTTCACCTTCACTCATTTTTTCTTCTTTTATATTTTCTTCTATCTCACTTTCACTCATTTCTTCTTTCTTTTCAGATCCTGATACAATTTCATCTGATTCTTTTTTAATAAGAAAATGAGACATTTGTAAACACATATTTAATAACGCAAGTGCTTGTTGACTTTGAGTTGACATCTTCTTATAAGTAAGACTAAGTGCTTTAAATAAATTTCGTAAATGTGGAAGATATTCAGAAGATGATGGAATTGCTGTTTGTGCAAGGGAGATATTTGGTTTAACTAATGTATTAATATGGAATCTAAGTAGTGCTGCCGTGAAAAAGACTGCTCTGTGGAAAAGTAATCCACTTACTTCTTTAGTTAAATATTCTAAAACACGAGAAAGAAGGGCAATTGGAATTCTACTTGCAACACTAACTATTTCTTCCATAGGAATTGATCTAAATGATTGATTTATCAAATTTTTATCATTTAGATGAACTGAGAAAATAAAGGCAGAAAGGAAATTTCCGTTAGACAAATGTTCTAAAGCTGCTTCAGGTGTAATAGCTTCTGAAAGACAATAAGGTTGGAAAGCATGATTTCCTGATGTATATAATTGGACTCCTGCATCAGTTAAAATGCTAAGAGTTTTACCAGCAGGTGAAACACAAATTGATTTAGTTTGAATTACTTTTTTTGTTTTCTTATCAAGGTTTTGTTTTAATTTTTTACTAGTAACGAAATCATAGATATTTGAATATGAATAGTCTTTTGTTACAAAAGATTTAGATACTAATGACTTAGAAATAACATTATAATATGCTACATATTTACTATTCCCACCACAAACAACCATTTCATCATTATCTGCAAGGAATTTTACAGAACTTACATACTTTTCTTTTCTTGCCATAATTTGTGTTGGGTTATATGAACTTCCATCCCTTAAAGTATCTGGGGCTGCAGTTGTTGATAACTTAATACCACCAACTAAATCATTTCTATATGCAATAAGTCCAATCATCGATTTATCATCACATCCATATAAATAAAGATAACCATCTCTACAAGCTGAAACATACATTGTACCAATTGAATTAACAGATATTGACATAACTTCAGATGGATGGTCTATAACTTCTGTTTGAAGATCATTTAAGAAATTAACACATCTAACAGTTTTATCCCATGAAGATGTTGCAAGCTCTGATGTAACTGGGTGAATACAAATATCTGTAATAGGTCCTGCATGTCCAGTTAATACATCAAGTAACTTAGAAGTACGAATTGAATACAAAAAGACTTTTGCATCTTCTGATGAATAGGCAGCAATAATATCTCCATCCCTTGGTTCAATTACAATTCCATCAAGTTGATGAGTATCAGGATGAAGTGCTCGATAGCACTTCTTTTTAATAAGATCATAAACCATAATTTTACCATTTCCACCAACCCCTATCACTGAAAGAGAATTAGGTGCAAAAGCAATTCCTCTAACAGCACAATCCTCTCCAACATCTCCTTCTTGTTTAATATTAAAATTAGCAATACATTCACCTGAACCAATCATCCATATATTTAAATTACCTTGTCCATCTCCTGTGGCAATATATTGACCATTTGGAGAAATAGTTTGAGAAAGAATTGCAGTCCTATGACCAACAGATTTCATTAAATAAGATTCTGTCTTCCACTCATATACCGTAAGGAAATCATATTCTTTATTTCCTAATGCAATACAATTACCTGTATTTGAAACAGCAAGACTAACATATTTAAAATCACATTTATAAGCATGTAATTTAGTAAACTGAGTTGTCTCAAAAATATTAATTTCACCATCAATATTTGCAGCAAGTATAGATCCACCAAAAGCAGCAAAATGAATTCTATTTTTTGGTGGAATGATTAATTGCTTTTCTATTTGTTCAAAGTTTTTTGTTTCTTTATTATATTCATATGAAGCACAAACTCCAGATGGTGATACAATATATAAATGGTTATTAACATATTCACAAGCAACTACAGGCAATTTCCAAAATGCAATTTTATGTTTTATTTCTCCTTTTGATGTTAAAATTAATCCTCTATTTTCATCAGTAAACACAATAACTCGTCTTTTTCTCCAAACGATATGAATAATTTTAGAATTAGTAATAAATGATCGGTATTGTCTTACTAAAGTAAAAGAAACAGGCCTAGTTAAAACTGGAATTCTCCATATTTCAACTTTCTTTTCAAATCCTAATGCAAATAAAGGATAATCTGGTGAAAATTTAACACATAACACATCATCTTTAAAATTAATAGACGAAAGAACTGTACGTGTTGCAACTGATATTAGTATTCCAAAATTTGTTTCATCAATAACTAATATAACACTATTTCTTGAATCAATTGCAATTAACTTGATAGGTCGAAATGTTTCAACAGGAAAAACAGAAGAAACATGTGACTGAAGGTTTGTTACATGAATTCTATTTCCAGTACAACTATATAAAGAAATCCCATCCGGAGCAAAACATATATTTCCTGAATTATTGATTACACCAAATATATTTTCCAATTCATATACATTCATCTCTTCTCTTTGTTTTGACTAAAACCTTCTTATTTTTTTTTTTTTAGGGTTTTTGTATTTCTTAATATAATAATGTTATGTATAACTATTTAAATTTATTTGTTTTTCGGAAGTATTTCTCATCACAATACCACAAAAGTTATTTATTCATTACAAATAACCTCTAAAAAGATAAGTATGTCTATAACTAATAACTCTCATATAAAAAATAAATAAATTGTTTATTTGATATAAAATAACATTAAAAATACTTTAAAAGTGACTTTTCAATATTTTTCTGTTGAAATAAATATTTACAAAATATTTTTTAAATTAAATCAACTTGCAAACAAAATATAACGATTACAAAAAAAAAAACAAATACTTTGGATTAGTATTAATAAATTTTTTCCTTTGTTGAACAGTTTGAACATATTTTCTTATAAAAGAAAAAGGCATTAATTATAGCATAAAAAAGAAGGTTTTTTGTTTGACTTAAACCCCAGTCTCTTCTTATGATTAAGTATTTTATTATCTTTAAAATGTAAAAGATATTATTACATAAATAAAAATTTGAAGAAATAATTGAGAAACTAATACTTTTCAAAAAAAATTCAAAAAAAGAGAAGTTCCTAAAAAATAACAACAAACAATTCACAAAAAGAATTTAAAAGATTAATTTTCATTGACAGCAGAAATTAATTTGAGAATTCTTTCCTTACTCAATTCATTTTTCCAGAATCCATCAACTTTGAAATATGAACCAACGATGAGGGCATCAGCACTAGAATACTCATTAACGTTTTCAGGTGTTACTCCAGACCCAACTAAGACTGGGATAGAAACTGATTTTTTTACATCACGAACTTCTTGTGGGTCAGTTTTAACACCAGTAGAAGTACCTGTAATAATAATACCATCAGAAAGGAAATATTGAGCAGTTTTTGCAGTATCAATTAAGCTAACATCTGAAGTGATAGAATGGGCAGAATGTTTCTTTTTAATATCAGTAAAAACTAACACATCTTCAGCGCCAATCATCTTTCTGTATCTTAACAATTCACCTGCATTAGAATCAATGTAACCTTCATCAGCAACATGACCAAAAACAAAGCCTTCTGCTCTAATAAAATCACATCCAGAACAAAACGCAGCTGCCATTGCTTGTTTGTTTGCTGCAGCAAGAATTTGAACACCAACTCTAAGGTTTAATTGTCGTTTTATTTCATACCCAACAATACTCATAGCACTAGTAATTTCAGGTCCAGCAGTACTATTTAAATAAGGTACATCATGCATATTTTCTATCATAATTGTGTCTAAGCCACATTGCTGATAAACAGTAGCTTCTTCTACAGCCTTTTCAATGATTGCTCTACATCTTCCAGCAGTTGATGAGTAATTAGGTGTTCCAGGGAGAGCATGGACATGAACCATACCAATAATTCTGTTGTGACCTTCAAAGTAATTAGTTGTCATGAATAGTTTTTGAGATATTAGAGATCCTCTTCCTTTTCGTTCTAATCTGCTAGAACGTTCGTGTTAGGAATTTAGGAATAAATTCTCAAATTACTCAATTAAAATCTTTTAGGTTTATTTTATCAAAAACAATAGAACAACTATCATTCTTTTATTACCAAATCATATAACCAAAGAAATAAGATATTAATGAAAGGGTGAGATGTAATTACTAACTAAATCTTTTAAGTGAAAAACAACCTAAACCCATTGAATAGCGTACATCTTTTTAACACTAAATCTTGATGGGTAATGACTACCAACAAAAATATCAGCCCCTTTTCCTGTTGTATCAATATAATATGACCCAAAAGTTGGAATAATATAAGAGTTGTTAGGAATAATACTGAAGCAGTCAGATGCACCAACAACAATATCTCCATCTGATGGGCAAATCCTTAAGGTAGTAGAAAGTCTTTTACGTGAAAATCGAGTTGGGGCAATTCCATGTGGGTTTTTCAATGAAAAGACAAAGAAATTAGGGTCTTTTTCAATATAGGTTGTATCAGAAGATACTGGTGGTGGTGGAACAGAATAGGAATTAAAAGTACCAAATATGTAATTGTCTGATGAGATAACAATAACCATCATGTTGGATATTAAAGATGTTGTGGTATTAAATGCAGCTGGAAGCAATCCATCACGACTAGAATCAAATAATAGTCTAAAAGTTTGTTTACCTGTCCACTGTCTTAGCAAAGAAAGGTCAGAATTAATTTCAGGAATTTCAGATGTAGAATAGGAGATAGAATTAGTAGAAGCAGTAATTGAAATACGAGGTGTATGTTTGTCTTCTCTTTCAGAACTAGATTCTAATAATTTACATCCTTCTAATTTTTCAAGTCTTGAATTAAAATCAGATAATAAAGCAAATATTTCTTGGTAAATATTTTGGTTGTCTTTAGGAAGTTTAGAAATTGTGTTTTGTAATTTAGTTAATTGTTCTCGTGCAGTTGTCATCCTTTCTTATTATTTTTTTGTTTTTAAGATTTTCTAATTTATTTCTTCTTTTATTTTTTATTATTCCTGTCTTTTTTTTTTAAGTTCTTTATTTTTTCGGGTTTTTTCAAAATTTTCTTAAAATTTCGTGTTATTATTTTTTTAGCTTTTATCAAAAGTTCATTGTTTTTTTCGTAAAAAATATAGTTTTATTTATGAAATGAAAAATAAGAACAAAACAAAAATAAAATATATTTGTAAGTTTTGGTAGAATATTCTATTTTATTTTGTCAAGACGGGATTTTTTATATTTCACTTTTCTTCCTCATCACAAGATATTTTCTGATTTGTCTACCACCACATTATGCTTGTTAGAATAAACAAATAGTCCCACACATTTTTTTTTATATTTTATATTACTTTCTTATGAATGCAATTATATTAATATGTATAACCTTATTATCAATTCTTAGATGTTTGTTTTGTATTATTGTTATTGATGCTATTATTAATTGTAGTACTGCCTACCCTTTTTTGATATTACTTGTTCTTTGATAAGTTTTAGTTTTTCTCTTTAAATATATGTTTTTATTATTAAGTAGAGATTTGTTTTTAAATATTTTCTTTAAATTTATGCTTTTAAGTCTTGTCATTTATTTCGTTTTATTTAATTTATAAATAACCATTCATTATTGAAATAAAAAAACACACAGTATAATTATACTTTACTATTGTATTTATGTTGATGTCATTCATTTTTTAGTTCACATATTTGAAAGTTTAATCTTTCATTTTAATCATAACAATTGTTGAATTTTGTATTTATTATTTTTATTTCATTTATTGTCATTTGTTCTTTTAAAATAGTTGTTTGAATATTCATTCTGATAATTTATGTTTTGATTATAAGTTTTGTTTATCGAAGTTTCTTATTATTACTTCAATTTCTTTATTTCAAAGAACTAAATTAATTCATTTATATCTCTCCTATATAGTTTCTTTATTTTAATTTATTTTTTTTTTGTTTTTCTTTTTGAATTACTTCTGTTTGAAGAGTTTTTTCTGTTTTCATTATGATTAAGTCAATCAGGATAGTTTTTTAAATTAATAAATATTTGTAAGAAATAAAGAATATCAATTACAAGATAAGCAAAATAATATTTCTATCAAAAATATTAAATGTCATATTTTTATTATATTATTTCTTCTGCATCATTCAAGTTTAATGTTTGGATTTGATATGTATTAACTATTTAAACATTCTTATTTTGAGCTTAAAAATATCAAACTAAATTAAAATGGAAGAGTTAATAAACAACAATCAACTAATTAAAGAAGTAGTAGAAACACTTCCAAACATTCAACAATCAATTAATGATACTACTAAGAATTAGCAATATTATTTAGGAAGTATTAAAAAATGAAGTATTTGAAATAAAAGAGAATGAAGCATAATCAAAAAGAAATAAAAATTCATTTATTTTCATCAGAACAAAGAGTAAAAAAGAAAATGAATGATGACGTTTAATATTACACACTCATAGTATTGTTTTATTTAAGTAAACAATTCATTAAATCATTAAATTTAGATATTATTTTATAATATTCTTTACAAACAAATATTTCATAAAAACAATAATGTAAATATGTATAAATTATTAAATTAGAATGTAAACTATGTTTTGATGTGTTTTTTTTATATCAAAGAAATTATAAATGAAATCTATTTCATAGTTTGACTTTTATTTAAAATGAAAAATAAAGTAAAAGATAATTAATAGAATATACTTGTTTCTATTGTTAGTTTTAATTAAAAACAGCCAACAACCATTAATAAGTCATAAACTCTTAAATAATTTCATTCATCAATTTGACTTATTAAGATAATGGTGATGCTTTTCAAAGTTTTTGTTAAATTCTAAAAAGTTAATTAAATGAAAGACAAAATTAAACTACTTGCTTAAATCTCTTTTACCCCAACTGGGAATGAAATTCCTGTGCAAATACCACATTGATTATTCTTATTTCTGGACATTAAAATATAACCATCCATTCCCCAAAAACTTCCCCATGAATTTTTTACAATGTAATAATCTTGACCATCTTGAGATCCATATCCAACAGCAGCAACACAATGGTTCATTATTTTCTTACATTTTGGTTCATCATAAACTCCTGATTTATATAATTGGAAAGATATTTGACTTGCATCAATACAAACACCAACAGGAGCTTCAGCAATAGCAGCAGTGAGAGCAGCATCACTAATATCAGCAGTTCTAAGTCCTTCAATAGAAACTTTTATTTTTGTCTTGTCATATAAACATTTTCCATCTTTGCCAGTATAAGGATTATCCTTTTCTTCCATAAGTCCATTTGACTTTACATAATTATAAGATGCCTGAAGAGTTCCTCCATTACATCCCTTAGCAAGAACAGCACAGTCAACTATTTGTTGTTCAGAAAGGTCAAGGGTTTGTGCTGTATATCGAGTTGTTCCACTTATCAATAATCTTGATTCAATTGCTGCAACAGCACCAAATGAATAACATGAACTACAACCTCCTTGGTCTCTAACTGGAGTAACCTTTCCTTCAGCTCTCCAATCAACAGAGGCTGGAACTTGTTTATTACTTTTTAAATTGACAGCTTCAATACCTTTATTTTCATTTCCAATAATTTGTTTATTTAAAAGTGCTTGGTACTCTTCACTTGTTAAAGCAGCATGTGGACCTTCAACAGAAAGTTCAAAACCATGGTTTTTATTAAATTCTTTAACATAGTTGAAATTACTTATAAATATTGCTTTTCTTCTTAGTCTTTCCACAGGAGAGTATTTAAATTTGTATTTAGATTGCCATTGATCAAATGTGATTGCATTTGCACAAAGTCCTAACAGAATAACTGCAAACATTAGAAGAATAAAAAATATTCTTTTAAGTTCAATAATCCATAAATATTGAACTGCTATCCAAGAAAGTATTTTTGTTAATTCTTTTTAACAACACTTTTTATTAATCTTTATGAATATTTTTATAACTTCTCAATTATAGAAAACTCATAAAGAAAAGAGGAAGTTAAGTGGAAATAAACGGGATATTATAAAAACAAATAAAAGTAATCAGTAAGTTAATGATGATTTATTTTTTGGTATATCATTGTTTTTATTGGAGTTGTAAGACTTAGAAAAGTTAAATAATGAGTTTAATTGTAATAACTCATTTTAACATTAGTTAATATTTATGTTATTTAGTTACATAAAATAAATGGTTATCAAAGACATCTGTCATTTTGGTTAAACAAAAATGGGAAGTTATTTGTAGTTTATGAAATATTCTATTGGTAATGGAATGAAAATTCTATGTATATCTCAAACTAACTTTAAAAGAAGGAAAAGATGAAACATTGAACAATAACATGAATTATTACTATTGAATATGATGAAATGAATGTGTATTTGTATGACAGAAATGGATGTGAAAGAGCTGATAGAAAGGAATATTTAAAAGATGTAGAAATGAAAATAAATGAAGAAATTATTGAAAACAATGAGAAGAATGTGAAAATTAGAAAAGAAAGTATTTAAAAGAGACTATAATAATAATCTAAATGTTAACTCTTATTTAGGTTGTATTATTCTGCTTAATAAACAAGAATTTATGTTTGGTAACACTAAAGAAAAAGATAGTAGTTATGAAAAGAGAGTTATAGGTGAAAATAAAGCAGGAAATTCTAATTTAATTAATAAAATACTTTAGTTCTTAAAGAGAGTCATGAATTAATAACTGTTTACACCAACTATGGAAGAAGTATAATATGGTTGAATTACAAATACAAGGGTAAGAGAGAGAATATAAAAAGTATTATTTATGAGAATGATAAAACAATACGAACTAATTAAATCCAAAGAGAAATTTATTTTTTATTTATTGTTCTATCAAATAAAAATTATTTGTTATTTCCAATAATGAATATTCTAATGAAGGGATCAAAGATGCATTACAGGAGACACCACAAAAAATATAAAAAAATAAATAACCAAAAAAGAAGAAATTCATATCAACCAAGAAATATAAATGACAGAAGAATGAGTGAAAATAGGTATTATCTGTATGGACAGAGATACATGAATAATCACACTAACCATTACAATAATAATTATAACCATAACTATCAAAACATAGTTGATACAAATCATTTCACTCATCACTTCATTCATAATCATCGTCATAAACACTTTAATAACAATAATTCAATATAAACAAACAGTACTATAATAGAAATAAATACCATAATAACACATAAAGAAGGTATAAACAATATCAAAATAAGAAACAAAACAGAAATCAAAGAAAAGAAATGATTGAAATACAAAACCAAGAATATTGGAAAAGACTCTTTGAAGAAGAAATTAAAATACTTACACCACAAGAAGTAGAAGAAATTAAAAATACCAAGATTAAAGAATATACATCATCAACAATATGGAGAAGATGGTATTTTCTTGCACGAGAAAAAACCAAAACAATCAGAATGGAAGAAGAGACTATTAGTATGACGATGGAAGAAGACAATAATCAATATAACCCAATTGAGATTAATGATAATAGAATATACAATAACTATGTAATGAGTATTGAAAATGAAGAAGACGATGATAAAGATTCTACGAGAGTAGAAGCTAGGCTTGCTGAGGAGAAGAAGAAGCTGGTAGAAGAGGAGAAGATGCTTGCTGAGGAGAAGAAGAGGCTAAAAGAAGAGGAGAAGAGGCTTGCTGAGGAGAAGAAGAGGCTAGAAGAAGAGGAGAAGAGGCTAGTAGAAGAAGAGGAGAAGAGGCTTGCTGAGGAGAAGAAGATCACTAAAGGAGAGAAGAAGAGGCTGGTAGAAAAGGAAGAAGAAAACAGTAAAAAGGAAAAAAGAGTAGAAGAAATAGAAAAGAAAGTGGAGGAGGATATGAAAGAGAAAGAAGAAATGAAAAAGGAAATACAAATAAAAGACCAAACCATAAAAAAACTAACTAAGGATATTATGGCATTAAAGAAGAAGCATGAGAATGAGATAAGCACAAAAAAACCACGAGTGCGATAAAAAAATATTCAAATTCCATGCTGAATCTGAAAGGAAAATGTCTGAAGTAAATTATTTAACACAACAATTGCTCTTCCTGAAAGATAAATTATCTAAATTAGAAAATAAAAATACACAAGAAGAAAAGAAGAAAGATGAGGTAACTTACAATATAACAGACTCATCTGAAACACAAATTGTAAATGACCTCTCCCCAATGTGGTAGTAGCTGATGAAATATCATCAAGTGAAGATGTTCTTCCAAAAAAGAAAGTTAACGCAGAAATCCATTGAAGAAATTGATATTCAGCATAAGAATATCATCACATTAGAATTAGATAATCAAAAAACAATGGAAGCAAACAGATAGAAAAGAAGAAATTTTAACACAATATAAATGTTTTGTTTTGAAATTATTTGAAAGAAAATTAAGAGGTCAAATTAAAGAAGAAATAATAGAAAGATTAATACAAGAATTTGGAATTAAAGTTAATGATATTAATGAATATAAAGAAATATTGAAGAAGACATTTAAAATAAAGAATGAAAATAAAAGAGAAATCAATAGAATAATGGAGGAAGAAATAATAAAACACCAATGGAAAGATAATGAATTAAAAGAAATAATATCAAAAGTGAACAAGAAAGAAGAAATAGAAGAAGAAGAGGTAATGAAAGTATTTAAAGAAGAAGAAAAGAAAGAACAAGAAGATGTACAATTTATTAACTATTATTACAATAAGAAGAAAATACATCAAATAATTAATATTATTAATAAAAATGAAATAATAATAAATACATTAGATGATTATTATCATTATATTAAATCTGTATCTTCCACTATTAACATCATTAATAAAAATAAACAAGAAAGAAGTGGAAAGAAAAGTATAGAAAGAATATTACAATCAAAAATATGTAGATTGAGAGATTTACTCCATAATAAACAATATATGAAATTAAAAAGAATATTACATATTAAGAAATATGATATATATCATATTAAAGTAAAAACAAATGAACAAATAAACTATTATAAATACTTATGAAAGATGAAAAGAATAGAAATAGAAGCAAGAAAGAATAATTTGAAAAGAATAAGATGGAATTATAAAATGATGAAATATGGAAAAAGGCAACATCTAAATAAGCCTAAAGAAGATGAATAACCAGATAAAATCTCCACTATTAATTTCTGGAAAGGAATCTATGAAACTAACACTAATATAGATTTCCTGAATATTAATTTATATGAAATATTAATTGAAAATAGAATTAATGATAGAATGTCTATAATCACTCCCAATGAATTAAACTGTGCTATTAAATTTACTGCTAACTGGAAGGCACCGGGAGTTGATAAAATACAATGATTTTTGATTAAATATTTAGAACAACCAATGAAATATTTATTAAAATTATTTAATGAATGGTTAAACAATCCTAATGAAATACCTCTTCATTTTATTCAATGAAGAACAATATTAATATATAAGAAAGGAGATAAATTAGACACACAGAATTACAGACAAATAATTTGCTTAAATTGTCTGTTAAAAGTATATACATCAATATTAAAAATGAAAATAGAAAGCCAATTGATGCTAAATCCAATTGAAAAACAGCTATCATTAAATCAAATTGGATGTAAGAAATACACATATGCATCAAAAGAAGGATTATTATACAACACTATAATCCAACAATTATTATTAAAGGCTAAATGGAAGTGGGTAGAAACATACTATGACGTCTCCAAAGCATATGATAGTATTAATCATCAATGGATTAAACAATGCTTAATATATTTTAATATCCCACTTGTAGTAATTAATAGTATATTATATATATTAAATAATACACAACTTAATTTGTATTATAATCAAGAAAGTGTGGGTATAATTAATGTAGAAAGAGGAATAATACAAGGTGATAGTTTATCTCCACTTTTATTTGTATTATCTATTGATATATTATCTAAACAATTAGATAAACAAATAAACAAATTAAATATTAAAATGAATGGAGAAGAAAAACAAGTCAAGTTAAACCACATATTATATATGGACGATTTAAAGATAATAACTAATAGCCTCGATGAAATGGAAATTACACAAATTAACTAAAGAAATATTTAATGCAATAGGATTAAAAATTAATGTAGAAAAGAGTGTGATAATGACTAATATTAATAGTCAAATAAATGGTGAATTAGCTGAATTACCAAGAGTAACTAATGATAACCATTATAAATATCTTGGTATTGAAATATGAGATAAAATAAATATTAATAAATATTGTACAAGAATATTAAATGATATATCTTCTATTCTATCATCATTAAACACTATGAAGTACAGCAGCCTCAATACAATAAGAAAGATTAATAATGATATAATCTCCAAATTAAGATATGGGTTTTGTATTGTCCCATGGAAACTATGAGAATTGGAGAAGATAGATAAACAAATAAGAAAATCATTGATACAACTCCAATTATATAGTAGAAACATCCCAAAAAGTAGATTATATGTTAAAATAAATGAAATGGGATTATGATTAATGTCATCAAGAGATGAATATGATAAAGAATTATTAAGAATATATTTAAAATATAAATATCAAACACAGAAATAGGAGAAATGATAGAAGCAATAAAAGAAAATCCAAATGGAATAATTAAAAGAATGAAGAAAGCATTTGGTAAGAAGATTAATTTTAATGAATTAATGAATATAATAGAATTAAATGAAAGAAAGCACAATGTAAAGAAAGTATTTGAATGTGTAAATAATGAATTAAATGATAGATATTTAAGTGAATGGAAAGAAAAGAAATGTGGTGAATATATAAGATGTGCAAATGGCACTTTCAATGATAAAAAATTAACAGTAGCCACTTGGAGATCATTAAATATAAAAAGAAATACATTCCTCCAAATAATAAAGATTCAAGAAGGAGTAAGTATGACAGGAAATATTAAATCAAAAATACTCAAAAATGTTGATTTAAAATACTGTAAACATTGTCATAACACAATAGCATCTATTAATCATATATTGTTAGGATGTCCTGTAATGAAAAAGAATCAAATATCAAAACATGATTATGTTTATAAACAAATATTTAAACACTTATTAACTACACATTTTAATGAATTTGATGCAATTGACTTTAATAATCCTCCAAAATGTATTTATAATGATAAAATGATAATAACTTACATTATTGATTTATTGGTTAATGATAATTCTTTCCATGCTAGAAGACCAGATATATAATATCAAAATATTACAGAAAAGAAAGGATATATCATAGATGTTGTTACATGTCAAGATAATAATTTAGAATTAAATTAAATTCATAAAATAAATAAGTATAAAGAATTACAATAGAAAATAAGAAATAATAGAGAATTAATATATGTAGAAATAATACCTGTAATATTATCAATAAATGGATTAATACATAAAGAATCATTAAGAAGATTAAAAGTACTGAAATTACAATTACACTTCCCCAAAATCCTACGAACAATAATAATAAAAAATATGAAAGACTTAATGTTTTACACATTCAATTCTGGCAACACATTAGAAGAAGAACAATCTAATGCGAGCATGCTAGAAATGAACTCTATTACACAAATAAAGCATATTGAAGAAACTGAAATAATCACTTCTCAATATGAAGAAAATCCAATTGTGGATATTTCTAATAATTGACCTTTTTTTTTTTTTTTTTTTTTTTTAATGAATATTCTAATGAATAATTTATTTTTAATTTAAACAGATAACTTTTAGAATATTTTTCAAGTTAGTTTGTTGTTGTTTAAGTCTTAGTTTTTAGTATTATTCCTTTTACCTCCAACGGATATTAATTAATATTATATTTGTCATTAAGTTAAGGTAACATGAGTCATAAATACTTGCATCTTTATCATTTTATGTAATTATATAATTGCATGGTCGATCATTAAGATTACTATGATTAAATTTCTTTATGTTTTTAATTTATTATTTCTATTACTTTATTAACCATTTCTATCAACCCAAAATTATTTCTCTAGAAGTGTGGTTCTCTTTATTCATTTAGTAATCAACATAATGAATAATCATACTTTCAGTGTTAGTTGGTAATTCTTTTAAATGGGAAATTAAAAAAAAAAAACGATTTGATAATAAAATTGATGCAAATTAAAAAAATTAATATAATAAAAAGGTAATACCAAAAAGTTCCAAGTAATTCTTAGATGTAATCAATAAAAAAATTTTAAAAATATTAATCACTTTTTCTTAGAAAATTGAGCAATTTGTCTTGTTAACTCTTCTTTTTGCTCTGCTAACATGAAATTTTTCATTTGAATTTCTGCAAGTTCTGAAGACAATTTTTGAGTATAGTCATTACATTGTTCAACAAGGAGACTTTGTGAACTAAGTGATACCTTTGATTGTACATCTTCACAATCAAAACTACATTCTGATAATGAAAGAGAACAAGTAAATCCATGATAAATACTTTTAATGAATTGTTTTATTTTTTCAATTTCTGGCTTCTTTTCTAATTTACGTGTTTCTTTATAATTATTAAGTAAAGACTTAGTAGTTGTTTTAATATGTTCAGGATGGTCTATGAATGATATAATCCAATCTTTTATATCAATTCCAAAGAGAGAATCAAATCTTAATTCTAACCCATATAATGATATCTTAAAATGAAGTTGTTTTGGTTTACTTAATAAACAACCAACATCATAATTTGTTGAAATAGAAATAGAATGTTCATCTTGTGGTAATGGTTTTGTTATTATATTACTAAATGGAGATAATATTTTCTCAACATGATTTGATTTACAATTATCCATAAATAAACAAAATCCTCTTTGGAGAGAATCTCCAACACATACAAATGATAAATTCTTAAAGATAAATTCAGATGTACTTTCATTTGGAGTTACACTTAATATTGTTGTAAAAGGTAATTCAAATGAACCATTTTTTATTATAATACTTGAACATAATGTTGGTACATCCCTTTTATCTAATAAAGGTAATAAATAATTATTTAAAAATGAAATTGTTGAATCAATAATACTTGTTGATTTTGAAGACACTTCTTTTGCAATTTGATTAAATTGTTCTCCAATAGCATTATTAATTGATTTAAATAATTGAGTGAAATATTTATTTAATGATAAATAAATCATAGAATTTAAATTAATTTGAATATTTGTTATAATACCTTCAAATCCAATCATTAAAGGTATAGGACTATGCTCATATTCAGTTACTCCATTAAAAATAGCTTTTATTGGTGAAACAATTTCATTTTTCTCTCCTTTTTCATTAACATGAATAATTTTAATACCATCAATACCAACTGTATATTTAATTTTTCTTCCATCTTTAACATAATTAAGATCCCTTTGTATAACTTCTTTAGAATATTTGTTCATTGTTAAATTTAAAAATTTTGGTGAATTATTAAATTCTATTCCTTCAATATACATATTACAACCACCACCCTCTTCAAATGGAATACTCAAAATACAATTCTTTATTTGGACTGTCATGTCTAATCTTTCTACAATATCCATAAATGAGTTAAGACCACACTTTTGAGCTATGACAGTTAAATGTTTTCTAAGAAGGTTAACAATCAATTTTGATACTTCTATAAAATTTTTAGTGCTTTCAGATTGTTGTTTAATTTGTTTTTCTTGTTGAGAGTTATTTAATTTATCTATAATAGTTAACTTAATAAAATCAATCAATTTTAAAACAACAGCACTTTCAAATGATATTTCAATTCCATCTAATGAAATGTTCATTGTTATTTTATTAAGTATTCCTTCATTAATTATTACATTAATTCTAGTGTTAAATACATTATCTCCAAAAGCACTTAATACTCTTTTTCCTATTCCATTCGATTCATAAATCATTTCAACCATTCCAACACCACTAGAAAAATTAATACAATGAGTATTTTGACTATTTTCAATTGAAATATTTGAACGAAATTGTTCTGTAACAAGTCTTAATATTTCAGTAGCACCTTCATTTTTAACAGTTATTTCAAATGTTCCTAATCTTATAGAAATAATAGTTTTTCCAGAATGATCTTGTTTTTGTTTAATACCATCATTTCTAAATAATAAAGAAGAAGTATAAATACTAATAAAATGAGATATAAATGATGAAGTAGTCATATACTCTTCAGTTAATAAAACAAGTCTTAATCTATTAATATTTAAAGACACATTTGTTTCTATTAATTGGTAAGTATCTTCATCTCTAATTTGAGTAATTTTACCATCAATATTCATATTTCTAATTAAATAGAATTCTTTGTTATTTTTAATTACTCTCATATTAAAATTTTTTATTTCAACAACTCTTCTTAAAGTAAATACATTGTTTTCAGCAACTTCTGTTCCAATTTCACTAATTTTCTAACGAAATTAATAAATAATAATTATTATTTACATATCATTATGTAATATAATTTTGAATCAACAAACTTTAAAATTCTTATCTGCAAAATAAGAACAAAATGATTCAAATGAAATAATTATTTTCACATCTTTACTTTGATATTCAAATATAAAATTATTAACATTAATAAGTATTGTATCTATAATTTGTCTTTTTGACTTCTTTGTTGTTGATTTAATTATTACAACAGTTTTTGTTTTATTTTCTGTGTCAACTTCTTTTGCTGAAGCATGAACCCCATCAATTTCAATTATAATAGGTTTTTTCATTAATGATAATGGAACAGTAACATTCATTTCATTACATTCTGCACTTTCAATTTCAATAGCTTTTGGTAACATCATCATTTTACCAATAACTTGTTCTTTTAACTGGACATTTCTTAATTGAACAGAACTATTTGTTCCAAGTTTAATATCATTTCCACTTCCAAGGTCAGGACATGATTTAATGTAATTAGATAATACTTTCTTTAATACTTTTGACACTAATAAATCCATGAAAAACAAATATGTTATTTTAGAGATGATAAATTAAAAAAAATTTTGTTAACAAAAATTTTTTATTTAAAAATTTTTTGTTTTTAAATAGAAGTATCAACTAAACTTCCTTCAACATAGACTTCTTTTATTACTCTAGAATCTCCTTGTAAAATAAATCTCTCTACCATTTGTTCATTACTATTCCATTCAAAAAGGTCAATTGGAGAATCATTAGCATTTAAGTCAACTCTTAAAGCATCAAACTTTTTACCAACTTCAAATGATCCAATTTGGTCTTGCATATTTAAACAATGAGCTCCACCATTTGTTGCTAAATAAATAATCTCTGATAATGAAACTGGTTCTGTTTTATTTACAATGTCATTGATATTACCAACAATAAGTCCAAGTCTCATTGAGTCAAGAATGGAAGCAGAAAAACCACCTGCAATATCAGTTCCCATTCCCATTTTTATTCCTTTACCAAGAGCTTTTTTTACTGGACAAAATCCTGATTTCATTGTTAAATTAGCATTTGGACAATGGATAAGTGAACTTTCATGTTTTTTAATAACATCCATTTCTTCATCTGAAAGATGGATTGAATGTGCAAGAAGAGTTTTATCAGTAAGACACTCATATTGTTCATACACATCAGTATAATTTTTACATTCAGGATACATACTTTTAATTAAATCACATTCTCCTGGTGATTCAGAAAGATGTGTTTGAAGGAAAACATCTCTTTCTTGTGCAAGTTGACCAAGTTTTTTCATAAGGTCTCGAGTACATGAAACAGCAAAACGAGGAGTAATGATTGGTTTAACAAAATGATAACCCTTAAAAGATTCAATGAACCTAATTGTCTCTTGAATACTTTTATCTGTACTTTCTTTTAAATTATCAGGGAACATTTGGTCTTGATTAACTTTTCCAATAAAAGCACGTTGATGTCTTTTTTCACAAATATTAGCAAGAATTATATCTGAATCTGTGTGAATAGTCCCAAAATAAGAGGCAGTAGTTGTACCATTTTGTAATGTCTTTCGTACAACTTGATTATAAAGCTTTTCTGCATAATTCTTATCAGCACATTTTGGTTCAAATTTATGAACTGTAGCTTCTAACCATTCAAGTAAAGGTTTACCAAAAGCAGTTCCAATAAATGCGTATTGTGGAGCATGAAGATGACAATCTATAAGTCCTGGGAATAAAAATTCACCACTCTTTAAAACAATTACATCATTTTCTGAGTATTGTTTTGGAAGTGTATTTTCAATGAAAATAATAGAACCATTTTCAACTCCAATAAAAGAGTCTCTAAATCTGATTTGGTTAGAAGTTGGAGTATCAATAATTAGTCCTTTAAATACTTTAACCTGTTTTGTTTCAGACATAAAACCAATACGAATATAATAATCAGTTCAACTTTTTCAATGAACACGTTATTATTCCAGAATAATCTTTAAGTCAAAAGTAGAATATATTACTTGAGGCACGAAAAAAAGATATTCGTTTTTGTTCCACACTTAAAGCTTCTTTATCAAAAAAAAAAAACAAAATAAAATAACAAAAAAATTTACTTATTTCTTTACTTCAGTAACACCAGTTGGATAAATTGCATCATTAGCAATACCACATTGATTATTCTTATTTCTGGACATTAAAATATAACCATCCATTCCCCATGAAGTTCCCCATGAATTTCTTACAATGTAATAATCTTGACCATCTTGAGATCCATATCCAACAGCACAAACAGCATGATTAAGAATAACCTTTTTACATTTTGGTTCATCATAAACTCCTGATTTATATAATTGGAAAGATGCTTGACCTGCATCAATAGCAACAGCAACTGGTCCTTCAGCAATAGCTTCAACTAAAGCAACTTCATTTCTTTGTTCAACAATAACTTGTCCAGCATTCTTAACAATAATTTTATCAGCATCATATTGACAAGTTCCATTTGTTGCAGTATATGGATAATCCTTTTCTTGCATTACTCCATTTCTCTTTGTGTAAGCGAAGACATATAAAATAGAGCCACCATTACATCCATTATTTTTGTTACTACAGTCAACTATTTGTTGTTCAGAAAGGTCAAGATTATCAGCATTATAAGTTTGAGAACCACCAATCAATAATCTTGATTCAATAGCAGCAAGAGACCCAAATGAATAACATGAACCACATTGGGCTTGATCTCTAATTGGAGTAACTTTTCCTTCAGCTCTCCAATCAATAGCTGTTGGAATATCTCCTTTAATAGCTTTTCTAACTGGGGCATTAACATTCTTAACAGTTCTAGCCTTTAATAAAGTATTATATTCAGCATTAGTCATGGCAGCATATGGACCATCAACAGATAATTGGAAATTATGTTGTTGGTTAAATTTGGCAACAAACATAGAGTTCATATTAAAGATAGCTCTTCTTCTTAATAATTCAATTCCTTTGAATTTTTGATTATTTTTTGCCATCCATTTATCAAAGCTAATAGCATTGCTCAATGAAATGAGAGTAACAAAGAGTAAACCAAACATTAAAAATGAGAGTATATTAGTTTTTTTGTAAATTTAGATTACTTCTGACGAAAAGCCACGTTCTTTAAAAAATTGATTAAAATAACTCATATGTTTATTATCTTTCATTTAGAGGTAATAATTCGTTTATATTTTTATCTTTTCAATTTTTTAGAGAAGAACTTTCTATATTGATTTTTATTATCCAAAAAATTTTTCTATAAAATAAAAAAATTAAAATAAGTTGTTAAACAGTAACTCGTTTATATTAATAGAATAACGAGAAGTAAAGTTGAGATTAGAATTAATGGAATTGTACTTGATTCATATGAAATATTTGGACACTCATGATCACTTTCATATCCTTTAATCCAAACAACATCCATTGAAGACATATTTAATTTAACAATATTTCCTTTTTCAGTCCAAATTGAAGAACTTCCCATCATGACTTCTAAACAAGTATTGTTAGATGCTTTAGTGAAAGAATATATATAATTATTTACTGCTCTAACATTAACAATAAGAATATAATCATATCCATTACATCTCCATTGTCTTGTTGCAACATAATTTTTAAAATCTAATCCATCATTAAGAGGAAGAATATATTTATCATTTGGTGGTTCTTCAACACACATAATAATATCAGCATATTTGTCTCTTAGTTCATATGTAACTTTCTTTACTTTTTCCCATTCTTGCTCAAATGGGTTTTTATAATCCATGACCCTCATTTCAGAATAATCAAAATAAATAATACCCATAGCTCCACAAGCAATATTTTGATAAATCATATTTCTGAGTTGTTCTTCTGTTGGAGGAAATTCTTTACTCCAGTCAAGATTATATGAATCATTGTAAACAGTCCAATCAAATATTTGAACAATGTTCCACATTGCTCTAGAATTGACCATTTTCTTTCTTCCTTGTGTCATCATAACCCAAATGGATTCTAATTGATCAAATGTTTGAACTGGATAATCATCCATTCCAACAGTATCAAATCCTTCTTTGTAAAGATTAAGATTAAATCTGTCATTAATAGCAGGCCAAACTACATGGTTTGGGTCATTTTCTCTAATAGTTCTAGTTGTTGCCTTCATACTTGAAACACAACTAGTAGAAGGTTCATCTGCAATATAATAACCAAAGAGTCCAGGTTCATTTTTAATTAACTCAACTTGTTGTTTAGTCCAACTTACTTTATTTTGAATTTCAGTGTCACTACACCCACAACAAATAGAACCAGAGAATGGATTAATGATTCTAATTTTTCCATTTGTCCTATCATATACATCTTGAATTTGTGTTGCTGACATTTGTCCTGGTCCTTTCCATAAATTGAATGGGGAGTCTTTGAAATGTTCAATATCAAAATCATCATACCAATTCATATAACATCCAAGAGGGAAGAATTTTTTACCATTAACCCACGTGACATGATTCTTATCAACATAAATGTCATAAGATGGATTAGCACTGAGTTTTCTAAAAGTAGTCGAAACAGTTTCAACTTTATTATTAAATAATGAATTGATACAAGTGATCTTAACTATATAATATCCAGGTGTAAGACTAGATGGGTTGAATGTTGTTGATGTAATAATTTGATTGAAAGTCATTCCCATTTTAAATTCTGAACTTTCAATATTTTTAACTACTTGGTTATCTGATTCTCTAATAACTTGTCCAGTGATTGAAAGATAAGATCCATCTTGAAAAGCAGTGTCATTAACATCTAACCCAACTCTAATTTCAAATGGTTCAATATAAGCTTCTTGTCTCCATGTAATACAATCAACAGAAATAAGAACATTTTGTTCAATAGGCTCTAATGAAATATCATCAATCCAAAATTCACCAGTTGCAGCTGCTCCTTGAAGTCTAGCAGAAATAATAAATCTCTGTTTTCCAAATGTCATTACAGAGTTTCCTGTTAATTTATACCATTTATCTGTACAAGTTCCTGTCTTACATTGAGAAATAGAATTTGAATAGAGATAAACACCATCCCAATAATCAGCACTTTCTGCAAACACCATTAATGCTCCATTTTGAACATTTTTAACTTTAATATAAGCTGTTAATTTATATTTAATTCCATGAACAAGATCTGAACGGTATTGAAAAACAGAAACAAAGTCTTTAGATGATAAGTCAGTACAATGTAAAGACTTTGATCCTAAATTATAAGTTGTAGAATCAAGAACACAAGAGTTAGAACCTCCATAAATACTCCATCCAGTAATACTTGTTGAACTTCCTTCTTCAAAACCACCATTAACAATATAATCTTTTGCTATGGTACATACTAATAAGTAAAATCCAATAACAAGCATGCTTTTTGATTTATTAGATTGAAGCAGTAGGATTAGTATAGAAAATTAGAAAAAAAAATTAAATATTAATAATAAATACCACAACTTTCATTTTATAAAGTTGACTTTTCGTTTTTTATGAAAAGTTTAAAACAAAAAATTAAAAATATTTTTTCTTCCAAAAATAAGAAGAAATTATTACTTGGGTTTAAGTATCTTCTAAATATAGAATGTTTAAAGGATTTTCAATTCCATTAGTCATTGCTCTTTTTTTTAGAATTCATCTCGAGATTGAATTTTGTATTATTTAATGAATAGTTGTACAACAGATAATACAGAGTCATTGCATGGGGTTGTTTTAAAATTGGAACCTCAACTAAGCAAAGAAAGTATATTCTTAACTAAAGAAAAGAAGGATAAGGAAAAAAAAAAAAAAAAAAAAAAAAAAGAAATCAATTATGATTAACCTTATTTTTTAGGTTTTTCATCATGTTGAGAAGTGAGAGAATCAGTTTCTTCAACACGCTTTATTTCTATTGAAATAAAGTTTTTGCAAGCATGCTCGACTTAAATGGTTCCTCATTTAAGTTGCTGCCTGACTTTTATTTTGATTTTAATGAGTAATATAATATTTCTCATTCTTTATATTGTTGTTTTAAGAAGAGTATATCCATATCATAATGTTATGCCTCATCTCCTTTTACCTTCGACACCCCTTAAAGAAACCCTATTCCTTGATAATATCCTTATGTTTAATTTTTGTGCAACAATATCAATTATATATGCTTCTTCTTTAACAAATGATAATTCTTAATACGTAATACCTCCTTAGTAAATAATAATCCTTATAATTAATAATGAATAACAATACACGTTAATGAATAACAATACACGTTAATGAATAATAATCTTTTATTATAATCACTTCTAATAAATATTAATAATAATAAACAGTTAGTGTTGAATAGATATTATCTCACCAAAGGCACGTCATGACCAGACGATAACTGGGAGATTCGAAGCATGGGATTATTTTAGGGTTTCGTGTGGTGTCTCTGACGTGCCATCTTCGAATGAAAAGAAGGATAAGGAAAAACAAATTAAAATAAAAGAAAAATCAGTTTAATCTTGAACGAAAGTTTTCTAAAATTCGAATATCAAAAAAATGTGTATAACAGTTAATTTTAATTAAAGAAAAAGAAAATTTTTATGTACTGTCAAATGTGGTTGTACATCTTTTGTACTAAACAATAGTTTGACAAAGTTTTATAAAATAACACAAAATGACAGTAATTAAGAAAAAAGAAAAATGTTTTTTCTTTTTTTAATTTTTTTGAAAAAAAAAAGAATTTAAAGTTCTCATAACAAAATAGAAGGTATGAGTGTCACCTTACCATCTGTTCAAGCCTCAGCAATGGCAGAATCACTTTCACCAGATCCACTTCAAACAGTTTGTTTTAATAAAAAGAAATTAATAAAAAAGAATAAAAGTAATTTGTTAGCTTTTATTACCATTAAATAATGACATTCCAGCAGGGGTTTTAAAATATTTCTGTTCAACACTAAATACACCAGAACAATTATTTAAAAATACAGAAATGGTATTTTCATATTATATTTCTGAGGGAAAAATCTCTCAATTAATAGATTATTTGATTGACAGAGAAATTGAAGAATGTTTCAGAACACCAAGTTCAATTTTTAGACGAAATTCTATATTCACTCGTATTATTCGTATATTTCTTGACAATGAATTAAAACAGTTTTTAAAAGAGGTTATTAATATTGTTCAGAAACATATGAAACAAATCAAATTTAAATTAGTCATTGGAAATACTATTAATGCTGATGTCGAAAAATCAGTTAATAAAATCGCAGATATTATTCAATCTATTCTTGAACATATCATTGACTGTAAAAATTATCCAACTGGATTTAGTTATTTTATGCATAAAGTATCTATTGAACTACACAAAAGAACACCTTCAGTTGAATTGTCAGCTCTCAAAAATCTAATTTTCTTAAGAACTATTAATAGTGCATTGGTTCATTCTCAATCAAAGAACCAACAAGAAATTGAATCTATAAAAACTCTTTCTGTTGCTTTCCAATGGTTTGTTGGTGATTCTACTGAACAAAATATTCCACCTGCACAAAATTGGAAATTACAATTATCAGAAAAACTTGGGTCATTAAGAAGTCAAGTTGATTCTTGGGTTACTTCATTAAGAGACCTTGCATTAGATGATTTCTTTGAATTATCTTGGGTATCTCCTGATGCTTGTAATGAATTACTACCAAGAATGAAAAAAGAGTGGAAAGATATCCTTGAATTTTTATCACCAGAATCACAAGGATTACTTTCATTACATTTTTCTAATGAACAAGAAACAATGAGAATGTACATCAGATTAACAAATGAATTAGATGCCTTCTCCAATGGTACTGTCAAAGAACATAGTGATTTGTTAATGAAAATGACTGCTATGACAATGCAAATTAAGGATTTAAAGGCTGAAATTAAATATTTAAAGAAAATTTTAGTAGAAAAGGATCCATCATTAGGGTATTTGTTACAACCTGAACATTAACGTAAATTGTCCTTTTTTTTTCCTTCTTTTTTATTTTTAACAAAAAAGAAACAAAATAAAAACAAAAGAATAATGTTTTTTTTGTTGCATCATTTTAGTTAGAAGAAAGAAGTTTCATTAAGAAAGAAATATCAACAGTATCTATTTTATTCAATACAACATTCATCATTATTTCTTCAATCAATTCATTTTTATCTTCAATACGATTTAATAATTTTATTATTAATTCTTTATTATTTTGAGATAAAAGATGAATTAAAACAGTCTGATATATTTTTCTTTTCCAAATATTGTCATACCCAAAAACATGTTTTTCACCTATAATATCTGCAACATTCAATAATCGTTCATAGTCAACAGAATAAAAAGAATATATTCCTTGTTTATCATTTATTGCTTTTAATACATTGTCGATACCAAATAAAATAAATTGAATAACAACAATAATGTGGAGTTGTTCTTGTTTAAATGATTCATATGTACCAACACATTGAATTGTAGAATACATTGCAGAAATTATTTTCATTATTTCTTCTCTATCAAATCCATTTTTTTGTAATTCTTGAATAAATAATAATAATTCAAATGCACTTTGTTTGAATTGAGACCTTACACAATTTCCAAATTCTTCAAATAATCCATTATGAAGATCTTCATTTGCTTTACTACTTATTAAAATTGGTTTAAAATTAATATAAGGAATATTCTCATACAATGGTTCTGATTCCTCTTCAATTTTAATACTATTAATTAATGCATGAATTGAAGATAATAAAACTTGTGAAGTAAAAGAATAAACTGTTTGTTCTTTTTTCATACGATCAATACATTGATTAACAAAATTATAATTTCTTGGTAAATAAATAAATATTGAAGTATCTTGATAATTATCAACTTTATTTTGAATTGATACTTTTGGTAATGAATTTAAACGATTAATAGCTTGAGTTAATCCTTTTTTTGTTGTTTCAATAAGTGTTTTAAATGAAAAAGGAGCAACAAATTTATTACTTTTTGGTATAATTTCATAAAATTGATGACATTCACTTTGATAAATTCCATATGTAGTTTTATTATTGAAAGGAATACACTCTGTAATATCAAGTTGTGGTATTTCATTATTTTCATAAATAATTCTTTCTGTTGAAAGAGAGAAACATTCAATTTTAATAGAGGTAATAGTTATAATAATATCATTTCTAAGAAATGTAATAAATGGAATTCCTTTTGGAAGAAGATAATGAGATGAAATTTTAATTGGAATTGGTAAAGCAAAATTGCTATTCATAACAAAAATATCTCCACAGTCTTCTATCATTACTAAGTCTTGATCTCTTTTTAAAATATGAACTATTTGTGTTGAATGATAAAATGGAATAAATTGTAATGTTGCTAATTTCATATCATAGATACAATAACTTGATTTATTATTTTCTGAAGAAGTGAGAATTACTAACAAATTATCAATATTTTTTATTTGAAGAATTGATTCTTTTAATTGTATTTCTTCAATACCTTCTAAAATAATTTTAAATGTTGACATATCTTTAATATCTACTTCATTTAGTTCTTCATTTAAGAAAATAATATTATATCTTATTTTATATATAATTTTATTTCCTTTAACACCAATGAAAATGACACTATCGACATAAGTTAATTCCTAATCAAATCATTTTTATTTTTAATACAAAAAAAAACAAACAAATCATTTGGATGATGGTATGCATATAAAATATCATTTTCTTTAAACATTACATTTATTAATACTTTAAATTGAGCACCAACTATTTGATCATTTTTAATAAGATTAAATGTCAACTTCTTTTCTGAATCACATCTAATAAGAATACAATGTTTGTTTTCAAATAAAACAAATTTTGTAGTACTTGTTGTTTGGTCAAGTCGTTGTAATGTTCCCTGTTTATTTAAATATTACCTCTTTAAAAAAAGAATATTAAACCGATTTGAGACAAACATCATTTTTAATAAAAAGAATAGAATCATTTTCTTGCCAAATAAAAGTATGAGGGTATTCAAAAAGAATATCTTTAACCTCATTCTTATCAATAGCATCAAGAAGATTTTTGTTATTTTCAAAGACACCAAATGAACTGAATTGAAATTGCATTTAGATATTTATTTTAACTACACTTTTAAAGTTCTTTTCAGTTCCATTTTACATTTTTACATTTGAACTATTGAAAATACATACTCACAAAAAAAAATAGTAAAAGAAAAACTAAAAAATAAAAGAGATGAGTTTCATTGATGAATGTCTTGAACAATTATGGCAAGGTGAAGTAATTAAAGAAGCAACATTTCGTCAAATTTATGAAAAAGCAAAAGAAGTTCTTTCAAAAGAACCAAATATTATTCCAGTTTCACTTCCAGTAACAGTTTGTGGAGATATTCACGGACAATTTCCTGACTTTTTAGAATTGTTTAGAGTAGGAGGAAGAGTTCCTGAAACGAATTATATTTTTATGGGAGATTATGTTGATAGAGGAATAAATGGTGTTGAGGTGTTCATGTTATTAATTGCATTAAAAGTTAAATACCCTCGTAGAGTTACTCTTTTAAGGGGTAATCATGAAACAAGACAAATCTCACAAACATATGGTTTTTACGATGAATGTATGAAAAAATATGGTAATTCAGATGTATGGAAAATGTGTTGTGATTTATTTGATTTATTGGCTCTAAGTGCTTTAATTGATAATCGTATATTATGTGTTCATGGTGGTCTTTCTCCAGAAATTAAAACACTTGATGATATATCAAAAATTAGTCGATTTAAAGAAGCTCCTCATGATGGGGCATTTTGTGATTTATTATGGTCTGACCCTGAACCTGAAGTTGACACTTGGAGACCATCAAATAGAGGGGCTGGTTATCTGTTTGGTGAAAAAGCTACAACAGAATTTGTTCAAAGTAATAAGTTAGATTTCATTGCTCGTGCTCATCAAATAGTTATGGAAGGTTATGATTGGAAATTTAATAAATTAGTATGTACAGTATGGTCTGCTCCAAATTATTGTTATAGATGTGGTAATCGTGCTTCTGTGATGGAATTAGATGATTTGGGAAATCAAAATTTCTTATTATATGATGCTGCCCCAGAAGTTTGTATTTTTTTACTTAATGTTTAAACACTCTTCTATAAAACAATTAAACTTATGTAATAGAATGAACGAACAAAAGAAGCTCATAAAGAATCTTATAAAACATTTTTAACAACATACTCTTATTGAATTTTCTTATTGAATTTATTCTTTTTTTATTTAGTTAAAACTCAAACTTACTTTTGTTATAATGCAAATCAGAGAAGAACAACCATCTGACTATGAAGAAATCTATCAATTAGTTCAAACTGCCTTTAAAACTGCTGAACATTCATGTGGTACAGAACAAAATATTGTTGTTAAAATTAGAGAATCAGATAATTATATTAAAAGTTTATCACTTGTTGGTATTCTTCAAGGAAAAATTATTGGTCATGTTATGATTTCCAAAATTTCTATTATTAATAACCAGAATACATATAATAGCTATGCAATTGCTCCACTTTCTATTGCACCCGATCAACAAAGAAAAGGATATGGAAGTCAGTTGATGAAAGAAGTTATTTCAAGAGCACAAAAATTAGGAATTACTCATTTAACATTATTTGGAGATGACCATTTTTATCATACATTTGGATTTGAAACATCAACAAAGTATGGAATTAAAACAGATATTCCATGTGATGAGAATAATTGTATGGTTATTCAGTTGCAAGAACAAGGATTAACTGGAATAAATGGAATCATTAAATATCCAGATTACTTTTTTAAGTGAAAAGTTTTTTTGTGATTTTTCTCTTCTTAAAAGCTTTTTCCAAAATTAAACTTCATCTAAGAATTTTTATTTAATTATGTCTTCAGCACTTCAAATCAAATACCTCTTAGAAAATATTGGTAGTTGTCCTCAAAATGAAATTAAAAAGTGGTGTGATGATCTTATAAACATGTTTCCTTTATCTACTAAATCTTTTAAATCTTTTTATCTACCTATCTATCTAGATTTAAATGGTGTTCAAATTAGATACACGATTGATACCAATTCTACACTTTTTCAATTCACACAAGAAATTTCAAACAGATTTAAATTACCACAACCATTACATATGAATTTAGGTGATCCAGTTGATCATATTTATTTTGGAAGAAAAATTTCAAGCTTTATTTTGTTTCCTAATCAAATTATTACGATAAAAACAGAAAGTTTAATCGAACCAACTATGCCAAAAGATGAATATATCACTTTTCCATGGATAGAATATTTTAAAACTTTTGATAAACTTTTATCAAATTCTAATGAGTATTGCCTTCAGTTGTTGAGAACTCTTTCAAGTATTCCTTTAGACCAATTTGTTTTTGATGTGATAGACTCCCCGTCTTGTTTAACTGCGTTATTTTTCAATGTATTAAAAGAAAGAACAATTTCTTTAACAGAACAACAATGTATTAATTTAATTAAACAAGCATTTTCTTTTCCTGGTGAAACCAAGTACTATTCTATTATTTCTGTATTACGGTTGTGTGTATTCAATAACATTTATTTACCAGAAAACTTTATTGAAGAAATCAAACAATCAACTCAAAAAGAATCTAAATTATCACTAATTCGACCAATTTATATTTATTTAGGATGTTGTGTCAAAAAAGACTTTCATCAGCAAATTTATTTACCAAATATTAAAGATTGTAATGAATTTCAAATTATTAATGCTGCACAACATGATTTTGAGTTAGACGATACACAACTACTATCAGTTTATCAACAAATTACTACTTTTATTAATTCACCACAAAAACATAGCGAATCGATAGAAGATTTGTTTGAAACTCCTTTATATTTTATTGCTGACAACAACACTTCTCTACCATTTAGTGAAAATTTTACAGTATTTTCATATTTATATTTATTAAATTCTCTTGTTAAAAAATATGGTTTTAAGAATATACCACGTACATTGGGAGAGTATTTAGTATCTTTTGTACTTCCTCAATGGAAATCATGTTTTGAATCTATTCCACTACTTTCGTTAGGATTTCAATCAATAAATCTTGCACATCATATTCTTTCATATTCTAATAACCTAAAAAGTATTGTCTCAAAGTATTTAATCAAGTCATGTGAAATTCAATCATCATTAGGAAGAATTGAATTAACTGCAACACCTCGACTGATGTTAGAAAATCCACAATTAGAAGCATATATTTATATTGCGTCATTTTTATCAATAGAAAATGGAGAGGATAATAGTCTTGTTTCTGTAAGTAAAAAATTTCTTGAATTTCCTCCTCGGTCTATTGATATAACACCAATTATTACAACACTACAAATACAAGAAAATGATATAGAAGGATTAGTTAGGTTATTAAATACATTAAATATAAAGTGTAGTTTATTAAATTTTTCTTCCATCTCGACAAATATAATCCCAATACTTTGTTATCACTTTTACTTTCAAGTATATCCTATTCATCCTGAATATACATACGCACATGGATTTACTTCAGTTCCAAAACATTTCGATCTAATTTCAACTCACACATTAGGTAATTTAACATTTAGTTTAAAAGCAGTTATTACAGTAGAAAATAAATTATATTTAAGAAATGGAAATAAGTGGATGTGTTTAGAAAATGGAATTTTAATTGATGTAAATCCAAAAGTATGGAGTAAAATTATGAGAGAAGGATTATTTACTCAAATAGTATTGAAAGTTGGTAATGATGTAGTACATAACCCAACAACTATTGAACCAACAATTACACAAAGTGATATAAGTGATGCATCTATAAGAACTTCAGTACCAAATATTGAATGTATGTCAGTAGAAGAAAAAATAGAATTTCTCAAATATATCATTTGTAGATATCTTGATGTTCTTAGTTCTGAAGTTTATTATAAAGTATGCGAAGAATTAAAGAAAGAGAATGGAATAATAGTACTTAAATATATTCTTTCTGATAAATTCTTAAATTTCTTTCAACCTGGAGAAACACTTAATGAAGTAAGAAATGATCTTGTTGACTTAGTGGTATATTTGATGAAGAAACTCGATAAAGATTCACAAAACCTCATTTGCCAACTTCTTATAACAAAAACACCCAATGCTGGAATGTTAAGACTTTGTTCACAATGTACTGATAATGAAACAATAAAAGAATATTCTTTACAACATTTTAATGACTTCTTTAAATTTGTAAAAGAAGAAAAACAATCATTCCAACAACTAATAAAAGAAACAATTAATGAATTAGATAAACTTGAACCAATCTATCGAAATAATGTTGAAATTATTAGAACTATGAAGAAAAGTATTCCAGTTGAAGCAAGTCTTATTCTTAAACGAGTTGGAAATAAAGAAGAAAGAACAAATATGATTTCTTCATTCCGATTCCTTCGTTTAGATGATTTAGATAAAATTAAATTCTTAGAATCACTTGATTTAGATACTATGACATCTGAAGATTTGTCTATCCTCCAAAAGTATAAAAAGAAATTAACAAATGAAAGTAAAGAAGTTTTCGATAAATTTGATCAAATAAATAAAGTACTCAAACAAAGATTTGATGCAAAAATGTTCTATGACTATTGTTACGATGCTGTTTGTTTTTGTTTTATATTTATTTATTATATTATTCACCATATTTAGTTCTATGATGTGATGATGAATTAATTGCATTTTATTTTTCAAATAATAGAATTTCTCATTTGACCCAAAAAGAATAATCATTAAATTTATATTAATCAAATGTATGAAAGACTTAAAATCATAATCATCAAAATAAATATTTTTTTTTATTTCCTTCTTTTTTTTGAATGAATTAATATCATTAAAATTGTTTTATAAATCAATTTAATATTTCATGTTTTATAAAACATAAAATAATTTAAACCTAATAGTAGATAAAGAATTTGACGATGGCAAAAGAAGAGTACCATAATGTGTTTGAACGAGACGAAAACGGGATTAGAAAACTTGACTTAGAGTATGGAGACTTTCCTGATGATGGGTATGATTATTCACAACATTTTGCTGAACGAGGAAATGGGATTTTCATTCAGTCTGATGGTAAAATTATACAACCAGAAGATAGAGGGGCTGATGAAATTGAGATTGTAAATGATATTCCTGATGACATTGACCCTGAAATTCTTGCTATGTTAAATGGAGATAAAGAAACTAATGATATGGATGATGATTTTGTTCAAAAAGCAATGGGAAAGGAAGTTCAAAAAAAAGAGAGAAAAGAAAGGGAAGAAGATCGAGAATTTGAAAAGACTCTGAAAATGTGGGATAATGATGAAGATGAACCTATTAAAGATGATTTGAGTGATGGTTTAGAGTTTGAAGAACAAAAAGATGATGATATTCCATTAGATGAAGATATGTTAATTGAAAATGAGCCAGTTGATGGGTTATTTAAGAATGGTAATCCCGTTGATATGTTAGATTTAAACCAAGAGTTTATTGATTTTGATGAATCAGATGTACAACTTGCCATGAGTTCTGTGAACTTAGAACAGAATCCAAAGAAACACCACCACAATCAACCCAAACAAAGAAAAGAAAAGAAAATAACAAAAGAAGACCTTGAAATAGACCCAGCACTTTTGTTAAAACATGCACAACGTGTAATGGTAGATGAACCAGAAGAGACAGAAACTATTGTTGTTCAAACAGTCGTACAAGAAGATATTCTTCAACATCAAGAAAAAACAAAACCAAAGACAAAACCAAAGAATAAACCAAAAATGGTAAAAGCACCATTAAAGAAAAAAAAGTAACTCTTAATTTTTATTACATTAATTTTTGATTTATTTCTAGTTAATACATCCAGTTATTAAAATTATTATGTGAATATTATAAGTGTGATTAACAAATTATATTCAAAGATTATTGAAATAAATTAGGAAGAAGTATATTTTATATGAAAAATTTATTCACAAAAAGTTAAAATAAAAAATGAAAAAAAAACTGAAATTTTAATAAATAATAAGAATGTCACGAAGACGTCAAAATGAAAAGGACCAAGCACTTGAACTTCTAGGAAAAGCTAGAGAAGGTAAAATTGACATGGAGGAAGTGGCAATAAATTGTATTGCACAAGATGGGTTTGATAATATTGATGATATTGATATTGAAGATTTAAAGAATGAAAGTATTAAAGAAGAATCAAAAGAAGAAGTTGGAGGTAAGAAGATGGTTCAACAAAAGTTAGTTATTGAAGGAAAGATTAATCCAGAGGTTAAAGAAATGATTAAAGAAAAAACCGAAATTACTATTTCAAAAGAAAAGGCTCCACCAATCAAAATGCCAAAAAAATTTATTCTTAATGTTCCTAAAAAAACAGACACTAATGTAATGAAAAATGTCCCAATACAAAATTTAGATTTCTTCTATATTGATTTAGTAAGTGTTACTACAATGAAAGGTTGTGTCTTTTTAATAGGAAAAGTAAAAGGAGATAATGGATTTATTTCTTGTTCAATTCTTGTCAAAGGTATTAGAAGAGTTTTGTTTGTTGAACCAAAAAATGAATTTATCAATAAGCCAAAAGAAGTAATAGAAGAATTAAAGAGACATTATAAATCAACCAATGTAGTATTTGTTGAAGCAACAAAAGAAATGATTATTAATCCACAAGATACAAATGATAATAAAGAGTTATTAGAAAAAAAGGTTATCAAAGGGATTCAAGTTGAATGTTATTTTGATGATAAAGAATTAAATGATACTGGAAAAACTTATGAAAAAGTTTATCAAAAAACATTGACATGTG